ACAGGCGCGAGCCACAGTGCCCGGCCATTCCTACTGTTCCCTTGGAGTGGAAGTACCCCTTCTTGGAGGGGGTAGGAGGTCATGGGAAGGTGATTGAAGGAGGAGGGAACTGTGGTCTTGCTTCCTGCTGCTGGCAAGTGCAAACCTGGGTGTCTGAGGCACGGGCAGAAGAGGGCACAGGAAGGAAGCCTCTTTTTACCTCCTTACAATGGGAGTGGTGGCTCTTTAATGAGAGAAAGAACGGATCACAAATTGTTTTTCTCCTGCTTTAGGAGCTAGGTCTCCAGAATAAAATTTCTCATTAAAATATCAGTATGCCAAAAGTTAATCACCACAATCAAAAACCTGTTGACAGACTGAAGACCTGGGACACTGAGACAGCCTGTTGCAGAATTTGGAGCCTCAGGAGGGACCAAAGCAAAGGGTCCAAAGGGTCCGAAGGGAATCCACTCAAGAGGCCAGGAGGGTCATTTACAAAGCAGGGCTCTGACGGCAAAGCTTACCCCACTTCATCAACGCTATGGGAAGCCTTGTTGCTCCTCCCAAGGAGATAAGCATATGAAGGTGAGCTGGCAGGCCACTGCTCAAGGCACGCTAGGAAAGCTGGCTTCTCCAACCTGCTGCCGCAGTGAGGACCTGGGGCCTCAGATGGTCTCTCCACCAGTAAGGCTGCTTAGCGCTTGACAGTGTATAATCAGGAGGTTCCTCCCTGAGAGGCCTGTGGGAGGTGGGCAGGCAGCCAGGAGAATCCCAGAGAATGCGGAGTGCCACAACTGTCAGGCCTCAGAACCCATGATGTAATGCCTCTCTGGGGGCAAGGAAAACAAGCCCGCTGTTGTCACTGCCCTCCCAGCAACCAGGCACTGCCCTCCCCATGGCACGGCTGTTCTGTGTAATTACGATCCCACTCTCTCCTTGGGAGGAGGAAATATGAAAAACCTTTGCTGTCACATAAAAACCAACCCAAGATATGAGAACTGTCTTTTAAAATACATCTTGCTGTAGAGAGATTTCCATAGCAACTTCAGAAGTGTGTGTATACAACTAGAGATAAGTCTAGGCTGATGAAAGCCACCTGGAATGTGAACAGGCTCTGGGCATCAGCAGCTGTGGATTTTTCTAGAACCTGTCATGATGCTGTGTGACCCTGGGCAAGTCACTTACCCTCTCTGATGCCTAAGGTGATAGAATCATCATTAGATCAAGCTGAGAGAGATCAAGTTCATCTTGTCCACACTGCCTGGTCTGATGCTTCAGTTCCCCAAGGCTTCCCCTGCTTTCAGTTTCTGTCCAGTCTCTGGCTGAATAAGTCCTGGCTGAAGGCCTCTGCCAATATTACTTATTATTTGATATTGGGAAAGACAATGATCATTTAAGCTTGATTCTAAAAATATTGCCCAGTGTTTGTAAGAGAAGTGCTTTGCCTGTTTAGGAAACAATGTATTAATAGGGCAGATTCCTGGGACGGAGTCTGTGAGCTGCTGAGATTTGGGGGTGGGAGTTTGATTGGGGCTGCTCTCAGGATCAACACCTCTGGGGTGTAGGGGAAGCTCCCAGGTGCAGTGGTAACAGAGGCCTTAGGCGATCCCTCAGGGACCCTGGAGCCCGGTTGAGTGTGCTACTAGAAGCAATCGGGGTTGGGCCTTTGAACTCCCACACTGACAAATCCCCTCGGGAGCTTGCTGCTCCCAGGCAAGGGGCTTGACCTTAAGAGAGGGACTCAGTCACAACCCCAGCTAAGGGAATGAGAGCCCGGGTCCTGGAGGGGCATCCGGGTGAAGCAATGTGTCATCCACTACATGGTTGTGTTTGAATTGGATATGAAGGCAGCCCGGGAGGCTTAAGTATGATAACATGGTCAAGACCATAGGCAGCGGAGGCAGGGAAAACAGCAAGACTGGGATTCACATGTCAGCCTCAGTGGCCTTGAGACTCTGAGATTGGGAAAGTTGCCAGGAGAGTCGAGGCCATGATTTCCTCGTTATGTGCAGGATTCAGCCTGGGTTGGTGACACACACATGGAAATTCAGAGTCAGAAACGAGTCCAGATTCTGGCTCCATGCTTACTATTAAGAGCTCGGTGACCTCGGGGCCAGTTACTTTCTATCAGTTTCCTCGATTCTGCCATGAGGCTTCATGTCCAATTCAAACACATCCATGTAGTGGATGACATGTTGCTTCACCCACATGCCCCTCCAGAACCTGGGCTCTCCTCCCCTCAGGCAAGGTACCTCTCTCATAGATCTATTGTGAGGGTAAGCTGGGATGGCATATGGATTTTACACAGAACTAGCACACGGGAGTAACAATAACATCTACCATGCTTTAATACACCTCATGTTATACCTAAGTCTTTGTTCAAATGGCCTTTTTGCAAGAGAAGGGAACTTTCAGAGAATTTCCGATTTGCTCATTGATCCACCATGCCTTGGTCTTAGCGGGAGCTTGTGACCCATGTCTGTAGAAAGAGAGAGAGAGACCCAGTGGCCCACCAGGGGCCAGGCTACCCCAGCCTCAGCTTGGAAGTTATGGAAGGCCATGCAATATCAAATGAGATGCATCATCTAAGTACTTTGCAAACTACATTCTTTAAAACAAGCTTATTTTCCAGTGAAAATTAGTCACCCCTTCTTGTGACAGGTTCAATAAATTATGAAACTCACTTGCAGGTACTTTGTTGCATGTTCAGCCTGTTTGCTCATCTGAAGTACATGCCAGGGATCATCCGAGGACGTGAAAGACTTCACATAGCTTAAAGGGCTACACAAATTCAATTACTATTGTTGATAGACAACGTGGCTTCCATCATTTAGAAAGGAAAACAGGAAGAATATAGGCCAATGTATGGTAGAAGTTGGGCTGTTCTAATTATAAGAAGGCAGCACAAAATTCCCAAGAGTTATCAAGGCATCTACACTATTATTACTAATTTTCACCATCACTGGATCGCAATACACAGTGCATATATACTACCTTGTTTGACTCTAACAGTAAATCCTGTATCCAGCTTTCAGATGAGAAAATTGAGGTCCAGAGAGGTGAAGCGACCAGCACACTGTTGCTCAGCTAACAGTACCATGAGGAGTCTGGGGTCAGAACCCAAGCACATGCTTTCTCCATTGGGCAAAGAGCGTCTGCTTACCGGAGAAGGCTCATGAAGCCCCGTGCAGTGTGGTCCCACTCAGAGCGGATGTTGCAATGTCAGCTGCTGAGTAATGGCGAGGTTCTGAATAGGTGAGCATGGTGTGTCCCTGAGGCTCTGTGTGTGAGAAAGGTCTTCCAACACTGCACTGGCTCTCACAGCCTGAACCTGCATCCTGGAGCCTGAACCCTTGTTCTGCGGCAGCAGAATGCCCTCTCAGTTTGACCGTGTGTCTGCTGGCCAAAACGCTGAAAGAAATATCTGCAAACAGAACGTCTCAAAAATAGGTAGGAGATACGGTTCAAGGTACCCATGTGGGGCATGTTTAGGCTAACTCTTCCCCAGACTTCTTTGTCTTGTTTGATTTCCGCTAGGACACTGGGGCATGGAAGGTTTGGCAATATAATTGTAAGTGTTGACGAATTAAGGATGACTACCAGAATCTGTGTAAATTACACAGGATGCTTCACCATACCTCCCAACATACTGAAAATAATCTCTCTCAGGTAAACATAGCTTCATTCTATTTCAAGTGATCCTCAATTTAAAATGAGGAAACTGTATTCCGGAGAGGTTAAGTAACTTGCCCCAGGTCTCACAGCTACTTAGGGGCAGAATCACGGTTTCTAACCTAGATTTGGACTCCCCATATCAAATCAGATTAAAATGAATATCCAGGGCTGGGTGCAGTGGCTCACGCCTGTAATCCCAGAATTTTGGGAGGCCAAGGTAGGAGGAACACTTGAAGCCAGGAGTTCAAGACCAGCCTGACCAACATGGTGAAACCCCATCTCTACTAAAAATACAAAAATTAGCCTAGCATGGTGGTGTATGCCTGTAATCCCAGCTACATGGGAGGCTGAGGCAGGAGAATTGCTTGAAGTTGGGAGGCAGAGATTGCAGTGAGCAGAGACTGTGCCACTGCACTCCAGCCTGGGTGAGAGGATGAGACTCCATCTCAAATAAATAAATAAATAAATAAATAAACAAATAAATAAGATGAATATCCAGGACCCCTTGCATGGAAGAAGAGTCATGAAAGGCAGCTCAAGGGTGGTAGAAGGAGGTGGTCTCAGTCCTGCCCTTGCACCTTGATGATGGCTGTTCCAAGGAGTTGGCATTTTGTTCTACAGCCCTGGATCTCTATCAGGACACATCTCCCTTCTATCTCATGGGTAGCTCCTCTGAATGACTCCCAACCACCAGCCTCCTAAAACGTTTCCCAAAGTATGTTCCATCAGTACAGTGCTTCTCAAAGTAAGGTGCATATGAATCACCAGGTGACCTTGTTAAATGCAAATCCTAATTCAGTCATTCTAGGCTAAGGCCTGAGATTCTGGGAATTGTTCTAACAAGTTCCCAGTGATGCCAATGCTGCTGGTCTGTGAACCAAACTTTGAGTAGCAAGGTACCAATAGTGCTTTATAATAAAAAGGGTTTGAGGGCAAATACAATTGAGAAAGTTTGAACTAAACGAAAATAAATGGTTTCATTACTGCAGGACTTCTCAGAGCCTTTAAAATGCTAATAAGCATTATTAGTACCCAAGAGGAAGAAATTGCAATGTGTTATATGTGAGTTACTGACGTAACCAGAATGATATATTGGTTTGCAAAGAAGCAACAGAAAATCAGGAAAATTCTGTGCCTTTTTCCCACCTTACCTTGGTTCCAAAGCTGCAATTACAGCTCATACTCAACCCCAACTCAGCACTCCCCTCTTTCCCACTGTCTCCTTTCAGGTGTCTGGGTACATGCCTGTCTTCTCCATCAGACCACATACCTCCTGGCACCCCTGCTCCTCCTCCCTTCCCTGTCCCAGCACAGACTCTGCACTCAGAAGGCCCCAGGTGGAATACCTTTCGCAGACACGGACGGTCCAGGCAGCAATGATCCACAGAGAGATGCTGAACACGAGCAGCACAGTGCCAGGGCAGATGGTCATGAGCGTCTTCATGACGAAGCGGGTGTTGAAGTTGATCTTGTTGAGGGCCCCGATGCTGCGGGACGAGGCATCGGTGAAGAGCTTGCTGTGCAGCAGCATGACTCGGGCGATCAGGTACAGGCGCAGGAACATGGGGATAGACAGGATGATGTCCACATCGGCCTCCGCCCGGGAGGGTGTGTAGGAGAAGGCCAGGCGCGCCGTCCAGAAGAACTTGTACTCGCCAGGAATGGGGTGGATGGCGCACACCAGCATCTCCAAGCTGATGTAGAGGATGCGCTCGTAGGTCATGGCTATCCGCCAGTCATCCGCGCCATTGTCGATCACGAAGAGCTGGTGGGGGCAGAGAGTCCATTAGTGTGGCCAGGACCAGGAAGCGCACAGCAGGGCCCAGACAGGACAGGTGGGGCAGGCTGGGGCAGGCTCCCGGGCTCAGGTCAGCCTGACCACCTCAGCCTGCTCTTTAGGGGCCTTGCTGTGTGTCAAGAGCCTTGGATGGGAAGTAGGGAGACCTGGATTCAGGTCCAGCTGGGAGGCCCTGGCTAAGACACTTTGACTCTCTAGGCCTCACTTTCCTCCTCTGCAAATCACTTCCTGAGATATAGTGATTTATAATAAGAAATCATATAATTGGTCTTTATCCTGGTTTAGGCACAGTTCCTAAAACCTTAGGAATTTCCAAAGTGATAAGTGTCTTTTGTATGCTAATGAGATGACTAGTGGCTGGGGTGGGAGGTGGGGATCCAGGGTAGCCTCAGGATGAGTGCTGGTTGCCAGGGGAACCAATCTGGTGATGAGAGGGCTGGAAATTTCAGCCCCACCCCACCACCTCCTGGGAGGGAAGAGGGGCCCGAAGGTTGAGTTGATCACCAATGGCCAATGATGTCATCAATTATGTCTGTGTAATGAAACCTCCATAAAATCCCAAAAAGACTGTGTGTGTGTGTGTGTGTGTTTTAACTTTTATTTTAGGTTCAGGGGTACATATGCAGGTTTGCTATATAGGTAAACTTGTGTTACAGAGGCTTGTTGTACAGATGATTTTGTCAACCAGGTACTAAGCCTAGTACCCAATAGTTATTTTTTCTGATCCTCTCCCTCCCACTCTCCACCCTCAGTGTCTATCGTTCCCCTCTTTGTGTTTCGATGAGCTTCTAGATAGCTGGACACATGGAGGTCCCTGGACACGTGGAGGGTTCCGTGCCCAGAGAGGGCATGGAAGCTCCACCCCTTCCCATGCGCCCTGCCCTTTGCTTCGCTCCCATATGGCTGCCCATCTGAATCCTTTGTAAGGTCCTTTATAATAAACCAGTAAATGTGTTTCCCTGAGTTCAGTAAGCTGCTCTAGAAAATTAATGAAAACCTGAGAAGGGCATCCTGGGAATCCCTGATTTATAGCCACTTGGTCAGAGGCTCAGGTAAAACAGCCTGGGGCTGGTGACTGGCGTCACAAGTGGGGTCAATGTGGTGGGACTGAGCCCTCAACCCATGGGAGCCAACACTAACTCCAGGCAGACAGTCAGGGCTGAGTTATATTGCAGGACACTCAGCCAGTGGCCACTGGAGAACTGCTTGGTATGTGGGAACCACCCCCTCCTTTTTGCTGACCACAAGTGTTCTATATTGAGCCACTTCCCAAGGTCCCTTCCAGCACACAGGTGCCAAATTGGCTCTTTCACGATGGTGAGAAAGATCAACTCATTTGTATTAAAAACACATCCCTGAGCCCCTGCCAGACCTGAGCTGAGCCCTGGAAGGGGATGCAAAGATGAAAAAGTCATGTTTCCCGCATGAGTGAACTCGCAAGGGCTGGCACAGATTCCTTCTCCCCACTCAGAGAAGGGAGCACAAGTGTTTGCTGGTAGCACTGCGCTCTCAGACAGTGCAGTGAAGCGTTCACGGCACGGACTCTGGAGCCGGACTGCCTGATCCTAACACTACTGGCTCCACGATCTTGGGCAAGTTACCGAACCGCCCTGTGCCTCAGTGACCTCATCTGGGGATGATGATAATAGCTGCTGCACAGAGGCCGCTGTGAGGCTGCAGTGGGTTCGTATATGCAGCATGCATGGAATCCTGCCTAGCACCCAGCATGCTATGTAACTATTAGCTATTCTTAGTTTTAGCATTATTAATGGATCTGGTCTGTCTTTCTGTAAAATGACAGTTGGACTCAGTGATGTCTAAGCTTCCTTCTAGCCCTAACCTTTCACGAAGATGCTTCCTGCTGTCACCTCATGAGGATGGCTGTTCACACAAGAATTGACTGAGCACCAGCTGTGTGCCCAGCCTTTGTCTTCGGGTAAGTCCCACTGTGGAGTCCCACCATGTTTGATGACTGTGAAACGGAGTTCACATCTTTCCCCTCTGTGGCCTCAGTCTTCATCTGAGACTGAAATGAGAAGCCTGTAAGGTCTCATCCAGCTCAGATGATTTGATTCTTGGAGGGTGAGGCCTGAGATCCGCGCATATGTTCGGTGTGGGCCTCCTGTGCAGGCACCTCACTTCTGGGAGGTAGTGGAGTGTTTATCATCACGCTATGCCCTCTCTCTACTGGGCCCTTGGCCCTCCAGCAGATCTGGCTGATGCCTGTCCCAGCTCATCCACAAACACATCCCACTCAAGACTCCAGCCTCATATGCTGCCTGCTCCACCGATAGCCACAGAGAGCTGCTGCTCTCCAAAGCTGCTTATGTTTGCCTTTAAACAGGAGACAGGCAGGGTCCTGTGGCCTAACATGAGCTCAGGATGAAGGGCACCAACACCAGCACCTCCTGGCCAGGAGAGCAGCCCACGCATGCATCCTGGGAAGGCCTGAGCTACAAGGCTGGAAGAAACTAGGCTGGGTTAGGAGAAATTAATGTTGAGGCCAGGGTTGGGTGGAGGTTTTACTTAACGTGGAAATACACCCTCAGCACAGAAAGAGTAACAGAGAGACTGGATCAGCGTGGATTTGTGGGGCCTGGCTGAAAGCCAAGTGAAGCCTTCCTTTCCTCCCTTACACAGGGAGATCAGGGAATGAAGGGCTCTTTATTCTGTCCATCCAACTGTCTCCTTGATGGTCTGGGCTGAAGGAAGCTTCTGCTCTGTTTCAAAGTTAGTCACCAAGCAGCTTTCTCTCCCCATTTTGCTGCCTTCCTTAGTTCAGCAGGAACCGAGGACCCAGGAGAGGACCTATGGTACCAGGCCTGGTGTGGGGTGGGCGGGCGATGCTTGCCTTGCTTTTAGCACCTACCTGTGATATGTTTCGGCAGCAAGGGGAACCTACCAGGCAATTCAGTGGGCCCTGAGAGGCATGGGCGGGGGAGGCAGCACTAGGAGGCAAGTCTCTCACCTTGCTGAGCCTCAGTTTCTCTTTCTCCCTGCTGTGTACCCTTACAAAGCCATAATGGAGAGCAGAGGAGACAATGGGTTGACAGGGCTTAATAAACTACAAAGGATCATTTGTTCATTCATTCATTCATTCAACAAACATGTGTTGAAGGCCCTATGAGCAGCCCCCCACCGACCCACCCATAAGGATCCTGAAGGGAAACTAGAGGGGACTGTGGGAGCAACTGGCTGAGAGGCTCACCTGGTGGCTCTAATCAGGGAGCTGTCATTTCTGAACAGGAGACAGTACCCAGCACAGCACCAGCTGGAGACTCACCCTCCTCCTTCCCCAGTGCAGCTGAGCCTGGGTTTTTCCAGACACAGGTTTCCCCCAGCAATTGGAAAGCCCTAATGGCTGTTCAAAGGGTTCCCTCTGCTTCTAACTGCCGCCCGACAGGCCAAGCCATGGCAACGTGACTGCCTGGCCAAATTCTTCAAATGCAAAATTAAAACCATCTACTCTGTAATAAAGAATTGCATCTGGTTACTATAGTAACTGGGTTCACTCTGGGCAGGAAGGGAAGCAACAAGTAACAGATTCCTTTGATTGCCTGATGAGGAGCGGGATTGTAAGCCGTCACAGCTGAAGGGGAGAACGCATCAGCAGCTCTGCCCAGCGTGACGGGAAGGTGCTGGTCCCCAGCTGCCTCTCGGGTGCCCTGCCTCAGTTGCAGCTTGCTGGTGCAGGGAAGGTGGGGGCCACATGGGGTAGTGGAGCTGGAGGCCAGAGAGCTAGCCTGAAGTCCTCCACATCCAGGTATTAGCCATGTGATCTCAGGCCCTGTGTGACTTCTCTGAGCTTGTTTCCACATCTCCAACAGGGGAACATTGACCTTGGCCCTGCCTGCCTCATGAGGTTAGTGTTAGGATCCAATAATACAGATAAAAAGTTAGTGGCTGGGGTTGGTGGCCCACGCGGTGGCTCACGCCTGTAATCCCAGCACTTTGGGAGGCCGAGGCAGGCAGACTGCCTGAGCTCAGGAGTTCGGAAACAGCCTGGGCAACACAGTGAAACCGTCTCTACTAAAACACAAAATAATTAGCCGGGCGTGGTGGCGGGCACCTGTAGTCCCAGCTACTCGGGAGGCTGAGGCAGGAGAATCGCTTGAACCTGGAAGGCAGAGCTTGC